TCTTTTCTTCTCTTCTCTTTCTCCACAAAGTCTCTTTCTGCCATCTCGCCTGTTTCATTTAGGTCCATGATCAAATCTTTGAGGCGTCATTCTTCTTGCATTCTTTCTAGGTTTAGGACTGGGTCCCTTGTGAAGATTTTTGCCGATTTCTTTTCCATTTTCATTGTGTGCCATCTGTTGTCTGAGGGAGGGTAGATCTCAGGCCTAGGGGTCGGTTCGCCTTCCAAGACCCAGACCCAGACCCAATCTGGGTTTGGTAGGTTGTCGTTGAAGACCCAACCAATTCTCACATACCAGAAGCCTGGTCCCTTCCACTTTGGCCATACTCGTCTATTTCAGTGCTTTGGGTTTGACTGTCTCTATGTTTCGCGGACAGCGGGGGTCAGTTCCCATGTGGCCTCTTTGTCTGCATTTGAAGCACATCGGGTTGGCTTTTGAGGATACTGTGACTTTGATGGCCCTATCCCTCACGACGAAGTACCAATAGTCAGGCAGTTGCGGTGGTATACCGTTGTTGAGATCGAGGCAAACAGTCATGGTATTGTGTTGCGGGACCAAGAAGTCTGGCGTTGCTATGATCCAGTCTACCACTTTGAATTGATCGTATTCCATTTGTAGGCGTTGTTTGATCCCTCCGTGCAAGCCCTCGTGTACGTTGTCGAATTGTACCCAGAAGTATTTCTTCACGAGTTCTTGTCTGTAGCGAGAAGGCGTCATTTGGAAACCGTAACCACTGAGGAATTGCAAGTGAAGGTTTTGTTCCTCAGGAAGTCCGCGTAAGATGGGTCCTTGTAGATGACCATGATCACGTTCCTGGTTCGGGGATGGAAGGATTTTTTTGTTTCAGCTCGTTGCATTGGTTTCAAACTTTTGAGTTTGTCCCACATCCACTTCAGTTTGACCGAGCGATTCAATTCCTGACTTTTCCTGGAGAAGTTGAAAAGTACTGCGTGCTTTTCATGAAACTTGTCTAATTTCTGAATATGTTCCTTCGGGACTGCGTAGACCACTGCTTTTTCCCATTTGTTCTTCTCTACTTCCACCAATTGCACTGTTTTCACTAACTCGGTTTTGGTTTGCTCTGCTAACCAATTTTGGGTCTCAATCCCCATCCCTTCCATTGTGGTCTCTGGGTCGAACCTCGCCCTTCCTCCACCCGCTTGTGGCCTAGGTAAACGTTCTGGAGCGAAAAGGCCTGGTTTTCCTTCCCCCCTTGGAGGAGGGGTTGATATCAGGATTGAGTGTGGGCTGCTGCTGAGGCAGTTAGGTGACTAGTTGACGCAGAAAGAAACAATCTCACTCGGCTTCTTCAGGCCGGTGCTGCGTGATTTAACAGAGCGTGGTCGTGTCTAAACCAGAGTTGTGGAGAGTGAAGAAGTGAATAACGCTCTTTATTAAAAGGCAAAAGGTTACTGCTGGACGGAATCGCTTCTTGAAATTTCAGTAAGAAAGTTGAGCTCTCTTGTTGTAAGTGACAATTAATTGGATTAGGTAATAACTTACTAGTAAGTGTGAGTTGATTAAGATTTACTTCAAACCAACGTCACTTTCTCGGGTTGGTGTTGTGTGTTGTACCGAGCTTGACCGCGTCCCAACAGTAATTGTGCAGGGCGCTAAGGTAGAATATTGCGATCAATTGAAAAAAGAAAAACTACCGCCGGATGAATTCAATCCTTGAAATTGTGGTGTGAATTTTGGGCTTCCTTATTGTAAATAATGATTAATTGAATTAGGTAATAAATATAAATTGCTTAGATTTGCTGCAATCAATCGTCACGAGTCTAGTCCTAGGTTGAGGGTTTAGCTCTCTATGGTGATGAGTTCTACGGTGGGTTCCTTCCTCTATTAGTTAGTTGTCCCTTTCCCTCCTTTCCTGTTCTAGGTTATTTGACTAAAGGCTTGGGTTCTTTCTCTTTTTCGTCGGTTCGTTCTTGTTCTCTTTCTTCCTTCGTCTTGTTGTTGAGTGGGTGATTGTTGGTTGCTCGATGTCGCACCAGGGTTGTGTTGTTCTTATCCTTCTTTGTTCTTAAAAACAGATGGTCCTCTTGCCCGGCCTAGGGCTGCTCTGAATCGAAATTTTCTAACTATGGCAAAAAAGCGCTCGCTGTGTCGGATCTACCATGCTCTTGTCGTACTAAATTATGCCCTAGTTGGTCTGGAGGCGTGGTATAATTACTCGTTCCAGTCGTACGTTCTTTGGAACCGCGGGTGTTTGTCTTTCTCCTTCTCTTGTAGGCTTGGTATTTCTTCCGTCCTTGCGCTGTCTTGTTGTTGTCCCTGTCCTTTGTCTCTTGCACCTGGTGGGGTTCGACAAAAGGGCCCTTCGTTCTTACCTTGATTTCCACGGGAGAACGCTCTGACCTTGTGGGTCGTGATGATGGCGTGAGTGCTGTAGCTTCTTCACCTCTTCGTCGCGTTGTTTCCTTGCTTGCCTCCGGTGTCGTTTTCCTTTGATTGGAAATGGGTTACGCCTCCCTTCTTTCCTTCTCTCCCTTTGCTTCTTTGTCTTTTCCTGTTCGTTGGCCGTTTCCCCACTCCTTTTCTTCCTCTAGGATCCCTTCCTTCCTTCTCCCCCTTTTCGCCCTTGCCTTTGCTTGCCCCTTGTCTCCTTCGGGGGGTGCCCCGCCCTGAGGCGTGGCGTGGCGTGGCGTGCCGTGGTGACACGCATGTTCGCCCCTCTCTCTCCATCCCGCCACCGTGTCGTAAGTTCAAAAGCAGAGGACACACGCGAACCGCGCGCGCCACGGGTTCCCGCTGCGGCGAAGCTCGATGAAGCTGGGTGGTGAATCATGTGGAGACGGAAAGGTAGCGCTTACCGCGTCGGCGCTAGCGCTCACCCACTCTCCTTTTGTTCTATCTATCAAGCGATGCCTATTGGCCTGGCCACTGCACATATACTTTTTTTCAGTCCCTGAAACAGGACCATATGGGCCCGGTTCTATATCCATTATTCTAGGGAGCATCAATCCATTTCCTTTTCCACCGCCAGGTCACATTCAGTTCAAGATGTGACAAACCCAAGAGTTTTAGAGGGTTCAGTCTTGAGCAGGTTCCCTCTGTTGGTGTCCAACGTAGTACTACCGTGGGGTCTGCCCGAGATGTGCTAGTATTTCCATCTAAACCCCCAGTACACCCCACATATCAGCCCGCGGGTGTCAGCGTGAAACCCGCACCACTTCGGAGACCGCCATTTTTTTTTTTTTCAACGGCGGGCCTGGCCTCTCGGCGCCTCCGAGTTTTGCTTGTGGTGACAAAAACTTTCTGCAAGGCTAGGGCCGTGTACTACTGTAGCGGTTTAAGGTCGAGTCCCTTGATCTTTGCAAGTTGCCTTTTAATACGTCGTTGGAGTATATGCTTGCTTCTCTCTCCTTTTCCTCTAAGTTAGCTCCGATGAAACATGTTGTTTGCCTCCACTAGCATCTGATCTGTGGGGTCTGTCAGAGGTGTGCTACCGTAGTCTTTCCATTTCAGGTCGAGTCCCTTGATATTTGCTGTTTGCATTGAAGTAACCAAATACGCTGGAATATAGGCTTTGCTTCTCTCCTCTTCCTGTCGGTTTAGCTTGGATGAAACGCTTTGTTTGCCTCCACTAGCATCTGATCTCTGCTTTGATTATTAACTTTCATTAAATGTGTAGCCACCGACCAAGCCTCCTCTCTTGGATATCTCTAGCTGTCTAGAGCGATGCTGCGGAGCTCCTTCCAGATTGATCGTAATTTTACTTTCCTAATGATCCCGTACGACAATCCTTCAGGATTGGTGAGGTGGGGTGGAGATTCACAGATGGTTTTCTTTACTTACTGTTACCTCCGCATTGTCAAAACAAATCACACATTGTATACAGGAAACATGGCATGTAGGGTCGGGCCCACCAACTGGGCACAGAATGAGTTTGGGATCTTGTACTTCACCTCCACTGATGCATGGACAATGGACATTCGCGCTTGTTTCGAAATGCCGATGGCGTTGGGATATCATCATCGAACAGAGGACGACAGCCTTAAACAACCACCACACGGCCCCAGCCCTTTTTTTTAGAAGGGGAAAATGTCGAGTCGGTAATTCCGACAATTTTGGGGCTCAGGGAAGGCACGGTAGTGCTACGGGGGAGGAAGCCGGTGCGCCCTAGGAAAAAAGGGGCAAACGGACTGTGCAATATGCCCTGCTGGTTTATGCCTGCATGTGTTTCGACATGCAGTGCTCTTTTTCATGCGATCCGCATGGGAGGGAGGGGGGGAGAGCAATCGATTCCCCATCAGCCCCTTCCATTTCAGGGCATTCTTTACGCTAAGCCTTTCCAGAATGCATGGGCAGTCCTGGATGAATCTGAAGGCAGTCCCAATCAGAGCTTAGTATGCACTTGTTGTTGTTGTTGTTGTTGTTGTTGTTTTATTTTAAAATAAAAGAAAGAAGAATATCCGATTTTGGTTTTTCTGATGTGACTCCCTGCCCGAGGCGGGGAGCAATCAGTTCCCTTTCTGTCAACACCTTTCATTTCAGACCATTTTTCTCATGCTAGCACTTTTCCAGAATGTATCTGACTGCACTTCCGGCCAGGCCTGGGGTGGCACACAAGTGAAAACGAGCAAACGACCGCTGCCTTTCGTTCCAGCTGCTGGAAGCAGGTCCAGCATAGAGGGCTGTACCAGTGCCAACCGACAGAGTTCTCCCTGTGGTTCCCGCTGCCTCCAGGCTCGACAAAGCTCTTGCGGGCAGGGGGTGCGTCGGTTTGGCAAAACAGGCCCGGCTGTGTACTGGTGGTTTAATGGCACCCATCTTGTCCATCTGGATTTGAAATCAGGTCTGTATTTCAACAGCTCATGGGTGTACAAACTGAGATGGGCCCGTTTGGTTGATGCGTGGGCATTCTCGATTCGTCTCTTCCACCACGATCGCGTAAGTTTGCGCTCTGTGTTCTGTGTCTCTCATTCTGTTTTTGCTCTCGCCCTGTTGGGTTGAGAAAGGGAACTGTGGTGACTGATGTTATCTCTAGTCTCCAGGAACTTCTGGCTGCCTGGCATCACTCCCTCAAGCAGGCCGTCGCAGGGGGGCACAAGTTCATGCTAGAAACCTGCACTGTCAGCCAGTCTAGGGGATACCAGGTCGGTGGCTGTGTCAGTCTTGAACTGTGGCTTTCTGACCTAGTGTCAGTCTGATAGTGGCCTAACCTGTTGAGTTCTCTATTGCCGGCTATGTGGTGGTATTGATCCTGATTGTGCATGCGTCCACCGCTTTGCCTGCTGTCATTTTGACCTCTTGTAACTTGTGGTGACTCGTGAGTTTGACATTGCCTCTATGCAGCCTCATGCATGATTGCGACTCTTGCTCTACCTTTTTCCTCCTGCTTTCCTCTTCCTTCCTCCCTCCCCTTCCCCCACTCTTGCTTAGGATCTCAGCCACCTCTCTCTCTCTCTCTCTCTCTCTCTCTCTCTCTCTCTCTCTCTCTCTCTCTCTCTCTCTCTC